TTAGGAAGCAATACATTATTTTGAGACTTTGAAGTTGGACGACAAAGATATCAATTTGGTAAATTTGATGCGTAATAATAACGTAATCTATTTGATTAGTAATATCAATAAGGTCGTAACACTATGTGTTGGGCATCACCCTACACTAGATCCAAACATCTACAGTATCTAGAGAACAATACAAGGATAGACATATTAGAGAAAATTTCCGGTTAAACGTTTGCATTATAGAAATAACTTAGTTCTAAGTTATTGTCAAAGGATATCTCATTGAGACATAAGAGGTCGACTAATGTGTGTGATATGTTTACTTCCGAATCTTTCATATTACCTTCAGTTGTAATATGTTACGAGTTGGGGAAATTATGCTTTATAAATGTAAACTGTGACTTCTAAAGGAAATATTGTTGAAAAAGATTACTAAATTTAAATGCTAAAATATTCGTCAGAAATTAAAATAAAATATGATTTGTCTCAGATTTAACGCAGGAGTGGGATTGGACTAGAGACTGGAGGAGACAGTATACACGTACGGTATATTATGTTCTTTACCACGATACCACCAATGAAAGGACACAGCAATGTTATCTATACTCTCATATGGATGTATTAATTCACTTACATCCCTGCGAGAGGCAAATGCAATTACAGTACTTACATTTTATGTATTTTAGTAAAAAAAACTTCTTATGAGTTTAATAAATATAATAGTAAAAAGTTAAGTAGCTTTCAAAATTTATATAAACGATAGCAGAAGTTTGTTTAAATTGTATAACTTGTATAAAACAGAGCTCTCACAATGCAAAATATTGCTTTGTTTACATTGGGCCTGCAATAGTTCAGGGGTTTACCACCAGATGGCATTGGGGTATATCTCTGGCGGCTAGTTTAGGAATTAGCTACCCTTACAAATTACCATCTAAAGATCGATGCGGTCAATAAGGATTCAATTGATATGCATTAGCTTAAAACTGACAGAAACGAAGATATATATCTATCTATACTATTATAAAAAAGAGGTGGTTGCTGTATGTGTGTATGTGTGTATGGGAAAAGTAAACTCGAAAAATACTGGTCGGATTGGGCTGAAATTTGGCATGATGATAGCTCACATTCCCGATTAACATATAGGCATATTCTTATTTCAAAAATCCTTTCGGGCTCCGCCCCAGTGGCTCTGGAGTTTCCCATGTTAACCTTATGAGAAATGGAATTATTGAATCTTAACAGCTGTTTCAATTAAACAAGTTGGTTCTGTTCTATGATGTTCAATAGCATTAAAGTTACAAGGATTACCAACAGGGTGCAGCACTATTATTTCTTTTACATTTATGACAACAGCTAATTTGCAACCAAAAGGTGAGTGAGCGTAGCGAACGAACTTCAACCTGGAGGCGAGTTAGCGTAGCGAACGAGCTAACCTGAAGGCAAGTGAGCGCAGCGAACGAGCTCCAACCTAAGGGTGAGTGAGCGTAGCGAACGAGCTCCAACCTAAAGGTGAGTTAGCGTAGCGAACAAACTTCAACCAGGACGTGATTGAGCCATGCGAACGAGATAATCTTGAAAATTAAGAAGTTAAACGGGGCAAAGCCCGCGGGTTACAGCTAGTATATTTATAGAAATATGAAATGAAACATTTTCTCAATTTGAGTAAACCCTAATACACTTTTATTATTTCATGTTTGTGTACGTATGTTGAGAGTTGCTAAGAATATTCACACCAAAACTGCAGCATCGATGGAAGTGTTGAAAACTTGACTAATGATGTAAATTTTAAAGCAACACATATCTGAACTGAACCTTAGGTGAGTTACATTAACTTTAATCCTCAATTTTATTACAGATAATACTGATATAATTATTGTATTAAATTAATTAACATTCACACAACTTTCAGAAGTCAAATTTTACCTCCTTCCATAACCATTCATGCGTAGCCTAAAAATACAATATTGAATGTTATCACAGCCAATAGACCATTGGACTATGTCATAATAGTCTGTGATGTTTTATATATTTACAGCATTTATATTAAGTTTACATTCGACCTGCATTTCAGCAGTTAAAATTGTAACAATTGTGTTTCGTATTTTAATAATGCTATTTTCAAACGCCTTCCAGTAAGAATGTTAATAACACTTGAGTTGCTTTTCTATGGTAAATTTAAACTTTACAACACATATTTAACACGACAAATGCAACAAAATGTTTAATAGTGGTGGTACGATTGGCGTTTCATGAACAAACAGAACAGGCAAACAATCACAAATGTTACAATTAGAACTACTGACAGGTTCTGTAAATCCATATAAGTTTAATTCTTAATATTTCAAAGCGCAGTAGCATTGAAATTATAATATCCTACATAAAGTGTGTCCCCAGTGAAAACTGTGTTAATTTAGAAGATTAAACAGTAGATAGCTCCTTTGGTACTGCTAACTTCTTACTGTGTAAATGATTTTCCCAAGATGGCTTTGTAATCGGACATTGCAGTTCTATTGAATGATCCTCAATTTCAACGGAAACACCTAAATGAACCAGAGAAGAAATATTTCTTGAGCCATCACAGTCACTAGCTGGGTCGACAACTGGGCCTGTACCGTACATACAACGGATTGTTGGGAATGAAATGAGAGGTTTGCCAAACTATACATGGTGTGTATAGACCATGTATAAGGCGTCTAGAGAAAGCTTCTTTCAAGAACTTTGAAAATCCTAGAACCTTATGAAAAATTCAAGTTGAACCTTAATTTGTATTCGAAAAAAGAAATATATGCGTTTCAATATAGTATCGAGGTATTGTTTTAGTCTAGCACAAAACAAATAGCATACTCTTGGAATAAAATTCGCATTATCAAATTAAATTGAATCAAACCGACAACCTAATATCAGCCTGAGAGTGTACTGCTGTCCATAATTTGATTTGTGTCATTTTAACTGCAGTAATTTTTAACCTAGCCAATTCAGGAAAACATGTTGGAACTATAACTTCTTGTCAATGTCATCACCATAGTATAGAAAACTCAAGAGACAATAATATAATTTGTACTGTGCTCTCTGAATTTTTGTATTCGTTTCGGTATATAAAAAGTAATTATTCCAATGAAAACTTCACATTTGTTTTCTAATTGACAATTCAAAACCAGCAACGTAAGTATTTCCATCCATTATTTCCATTATTTTGTAATACAATAAGTGAATTACAACATCTTCTTGATATAATCACAAGATGCGTTTAAAACTAAAGACATTGTTGTCACGACGTTAAGGACAATTTTTTGTAAAGAGATTAATACAAATGTGAAATAAGGAGGTGGATTTGGAATAAATTGAGAGGCAAAACATTCACACACCTACGCGGTACCATGATAACTGCACACTTGTGAACAAATATAGAAAAGTAAAATATTCTTTACTGGTGAGGACCTAGAGCTCAAGAGAGTATATATTATGAGGGTTCTCCTATCTTGCCTGAATTTAACATGTAATTATTATAAGTAGACTTTCGGTCAATTGTGTCTTATTTACGCCGGAAGCATTTTTTATGCAATAACTAAAAGAATAAAGAATGCGTAGAAGGGGAAGTGGTTCAATCCTCTTAAGGTTTGTTGTGGCATGAGAATTTCACCATTTTTTTTTTAATTTTGAAGTTGAGTAAGACTAGTTGAGTATTACGCCAGTTGCTAGTAAATTTTCGAAAAATCTGATCCATCAGACAAAAAATCTGGATAAAATTAAGCTATTTATTGAATAGTTTAAACGCTTAGATATGTTGCGAAATTAACGGAAAAAAATATTTCCGTACCGGTTTGTTTAATTCGCTCTGAATATCTTTATGTGAGGGATGATATCGTGGCAAAGCGCGGGGCTTTAGTCCGCAAGGTCCCAGGTTCAAATCCTTCCAATAACTAATGGGATTTTGCTATGTAATAGAGCCATGACCATCATGGCCTAGCATAAATTAATAGGTGGAACTTTTCGGGTTCCAAAAGAAATCTAATTTGCCTAACAGCATTGAGGAAACTAAATTAATGTGTTACAAACCTCAAATCCCAAACCTACAATTTCTTATCTGGCTCTGAAAAATCAACTTTGAATCAAGCTCGAATCCAACAAATCAGAAATCATTAAAATCGATCCAGCCGGTCTAAAGTTAAAAACTGTTGAACTAAAACGACTTTGTTATATATATATTATATAATATATTAGGATATATAATAGTTTAGTTATATAATATTAGTAGGATAAGTCACAGAGTGTTTATATAACACTAAATGAACTCTCAGACTCATTAATAGGGCAGTTTCTCTCAGAACTATTATTACAAAGAAAAGGCCGCTCTGGCGCAGTACAGGTCTGATTTTGGGTGGTAGATTATAGTGCTGGCGCAGTACGGGCCTGCTACCTGGACTCTCTGGCGCAATACGGGCGCCCCGAAACAAATTAGCTGTTGTCATAAATGTAAAAGAAATAATAGTGCTAGTGCTGCACCCTGTTGGTAATCCTTGTAACTTTAATGCTATTGAACATCACAGAACAGAACCAACTTGTTTAATTGAAACAGCTGTTAAGATTCAATAATTTCATTTCTCATAAGGTTAACATGGGCTTCCAGAAATTCCACGTCAAAAATCGACAAAAACTTGATTTTCAAGGGTTTACTGTTAAATATCTAACTGTCTCATATTCGATGAAATACGTCTAAAACCATCTCATATATGTATAGTATTTGGAAAATAAGTTTCAGGCGGGACAGTGCTATAGTTATTGAGGAGTAGTTGTAATAAAGTGCGTATTTTAGCGTTACCAAGAGAATGACAGATAGACAGACAGACAGACAGACAGACAGACAGACAGAAATTGAGATAAGGTTTGATTCGGTTTCTCTGACCTATGAAATGTAAAAATAACCAAAAAGTTCATTATTCTAAGCAATGTACAGACAAAACTCTAATTTTATTTATATAGATATAAAACATGGTAAATCAACAAATACCAACCTATTCTAATAACATCAGGCAGAGCTCCTAGCAGAGGTAAAAATCCCAGCAAAACCAACAGCCACATCTGCAAAAACAAACATGTATAAATCCTTTGTCGAAATTGCAACATACATCCAGATGATATATAATAGTGTATTGTGCATCCAGTTGTATCAGTTGTATAACAGCTAAAAATAAGTTGGGCAACAGAATAATACATGAGCCTGTATTCGTATTGCAATCTGTTTCGATAAATCCATTATTCAATCAATAATACTGTATATTAATAAATATTTATGTTCGGATGTTTATTCAAAAAAATTTACAAACATTGATCATGTTGAATTGCACACTCAACTGACCTATATATGAGTCATAAATAATAACAAACCAGTTTAAGATAAGTTTCAATGCGATTAACCAATTCGGTAATAGTAGTTTACGCAGCGATTGCGTAAGGATTGTCCATCGATCTCTATTTAGAGATCGATGGGATAGTCTTAACGACACGAGTAGAAAATCTAAGGTACGAACCTTGGTGAGTGATTTAAAACTTCTACGAGTGTCCTAGAATAATTATGCGAGTTGCGTACACTACTTTACCTATGACCGTTTCTTAATTATTAAAACTACTACCAACTCATAGTGATAGTTTCCAAGAGAGGTCATGTTTTCGTTTAACCTCTCATTGCCAATTGCCACTGATTGTCTCAACGACTCATTATCTCAACACTAACTCATTGTATAGTGAATTAAATTTCCCTTAACAGCTGATAGGTTAATGTTAGAAACATTACAATTTTACTTCTTTTCTCTCAATTCTTGAACCTCATTGGTCCAAACTTGTAGTGTAAAGTAACAAAACAATGCATGAATAAACAATAATTTTAAGTGAATCTTTTTAATTCTAGAGAGCTGAAAAGGCTACTTAAAAAAATGGTCGTAGGTAAAGTAATTAACCTACAACCGGATTGTTAAATTACTGACTAAATACAATCCTACATGGTATTTAGTCAACCCTTTGGAAATTATCTGTGACCACTTATCAAAAGTAGTATTCCTTGTATGTTTTAGCATTGTAAGGGAACTCACAGGCGGGCTGTATATCTTGGTAACAGATGGTCTATGAATTATTTTCACCAACTAGGTTCCTCTCGTAAGTCTTTATGTGCTTCTACTTCAAACAACTGAACTTTTACAATGCAATGTATTCTTAGAATGTAATATGTTGTAAAATGGAGGTTGAAGTAAGGATGACTTAATACTTCAATACTTTCTCATGAAATGGTGACCATACAAGGTATTTTAAGCCAAGTATGAATGGAGATGAGTGTAGGATGAGTGGCAAGATCTTGTAGTCTTGTTAGTGAATAAGGTCGACATTCCTTAGACACAACTGTTAATTAATAGCCAGCCCATACGGCTAATGGCAACTAAGGGACCTTCAGCGGAACCCGAAGCACATTTTTGCCTTGGTATTAACGAATTGGTCCAATTATTGGGATAGTACTGACATAAATTAAGCTAAATTCGGCAAGACAGTGAAGCATAGTGTGTTCAGTGTTCTCCATAAGCTTATACAGTTTATCTACTGAATGGAACTAAATATTTCTCAGCTATTCTTTTTCAATATAAATATAACAGTATTACCTTTATACCTACTCTGTTTAAGGTAGTAAAACAATGGAATAAGCAAATACATAACACATAGATAATAATTTAATTAAAGATATTTTTGGCAAGGTTGTATGTTATCAACAAAACATCGTTACAAGAGCACAACCTTCAACATCACGTTTACCAACAAAGACATAAAGGAAGACTTAAAGAATGTAAGTGCCTGTACTACTTCTTCGTTTAAGGATTTTTCAATAATAATTAATTAATTTCAAGCCATGACTTATTTTTTATGTAATGTAAACAAGCGTTTTTTGTGATAATAATGTATAGTTTACACAAAGTAACGTATGATCTGACATTTACGTACAGTTTACATAAACAAACTGATTGAATATTCATGGTGCATTACATAAACTAACGTATACGTTGATGATTCATGTATAATTTACATAAAATAACGTATATTGATTTACATAAATTCTACGTAGCAATGTGGAACATCTATACGTTTTGTTTACATACATTTTACAAGTGTGTACGTGATGTATACGAAGTTTTAACCTTAGCTCAATGTCAATCATACGTACAAGAAGAATAAGAAGCATTTAGTCACAATAATTTTACAGTTTGTTAAAATTGAAAAGAAATATCAAAACGTCCTGGTGAAAAAAGCTTTAACACTGTTTTCATCAAAAACATAAGACTGACAAATCTATGATAGTGTAATCAAACATTTTTCAAGCCATGACTCTATGATTATGGTCAGCGTCAAACATTATTTTCAACAATGAACAATTTAAAATATTCGTTATTTTAAATTACCAGTCTAATTTTATCATTTCTCTAACAATGTCATCTAAATAACAACAACAATAGTAGTAGAGCTTCTAAATAACATTGAGTTGACATTTGTGAGGGAAAAGTGTTGTTGAAAAGACAAATGTTTTCCACTCTATAAACACAAGTACGCTTCTACACTATAACTCCAGCACTAAAGATTATGAAAGAGTTTTACTATAAAATTGTCATACCTCGTTGTAAATGAAATATACACTCAAAAGCGCAAGTAGAATTCTCATCCTATTGTGAAATTTGGAGTATGTTTTGATGTTTGTTATTCAACAAAGTTACTAAACGTTTATACGTATGTCATATTAATAAACGTTTGATAAAAGTTTGTTGGCTTAATGTATCTTCCTTAAGATTATTTAAGAGTTTTACTATAAAATTGTCATACCTCGTTTGTAAATGAAATATACTCTCTACTCTCTGATTATGATACGAGAGGAAAAAGTAATAGTTTTGAAATATTTAGCTATGTACAGTGGAAAAAACAACAACAAGAAACATTTAGTTAACTGAAAATAGTTAGATGGATGGAGGGCTAGATGTGTAGATAGATCTATTTGATTATTGCCATAAACAGATCGAATTAAATATATACCGTCAGCTGTGTTCTGGTTACCATAATAGGTTCTGGCGCACACCACTGGGAGCGCCGTGTAGTTACGTAACGCGTACGCCGTAACTACATGGCGCTCCCAGTGGTGTGCGCCAGAACCTGGTAACCGCAGCACAGCTGACGGTCTGTATTTAATTCGTGTCGTCTATGTTATAACACATCATACTTGCATAGATCTTGTCAATTACTTGTCAATACTTGTCAAGCAGAGTAAGTTAAGAAAAAAAATACAGACAAGCTTCAGCAATAAAAAGGTTTACATGCTAATTATAGTATAAGATAAAACACAGTACTTAGAAAAAAATTGACCAATGCCGAGCGAGAGCAAATACATTTGTATTATTGTTGGACAACCTCATAAAACGTTATAATCATGTGGTATTAAATGAACCTAAAGGATGAGTCCAGGCTAACCACACTGAGCGATATTAATTTCTAGACATTCACTAGCTGTAATTTAACATCGTACAGACCAAAATGATGCCTAACCGATCAAAATCTACGTGAAAAAACACACAAAACAGTGAAATTACACACCAGCTAACGGTGTTTTGAGTTGCTTATATAATTTAGTTTTTAGGCCTTCTACTTTTAGAAGAAATTTATCGACAATACATATTCCCAGATGGCATAAAGCAAATAATTTAAAAACATTTTCTATAATTTCTAATTCCTTGAAATGTTATAATAAACGTATTTTTACACCAGATTTTTGAAAATTATCCACTGTGAAAAGTCGTATTATGGATCAAGCATAAATGTCTTAATTTTGCTTAGAAAGTTTGAATAATCTAAATAGTCATTTATTATTCTGAAGTTTTATAAGGGAAGAAAACTGAACCCTCTCCCATTACATTGAAGATGTAGCCAGCAATACAAAAAAATCTATTTATAATAATTTAGACAAGATGAGAACATTAATAATAACAGATAAAAGTGAAGTTGAAGAATTCTGGGAAATAAGACTAATCACTTTTTGTCAAAACTTTAATCTAAATAAATAAGTTGAACTAAAATTCATTAAAATGTTAAATACCTTGACCAAAGGTTGCTTTCCTAAGGCTAAAATTCTTAGAAACTGTTGCTTTACCAATAAACGTCACTTCTAACTAACTGACCTCGGATCAAGTACACTGACCTACTTAAAGCAACAACCTTCTGTAGTTCACCTCAACAAGTTATTGTTCAACAACACTTCTAGTCTTGTACAACATTGCCAAACAGTTCATCGTTGCAATGGAAACCCTATAGAGTGTAATTCTATCTGATTGATTTTTGATAAAATGAACAATTTTGAACTTTAAACTCTCTCTCTAGCTTTCCCCAAAGATTTCATCTTATTGATGTTGGATGATTTAAAAAGGGTTTTGATATAATGATTGAAGATAAATTATGAAAATTTGTATACGTTTGAGTGTCGAATCAACACTCCGAGATACTAAATTAGCCTTTTTGTTTCTTTAAGCTCTACAAAATAGTTTAGAGAGAACTTAAAAATAATAAGTTTTTAGGGTCAAAAATTGGGAAAAAACTTACTTTTGAACCCCATATAAACCCGTTCCAATAATCGATGAAACTAGTTCGCTAACTCGTTAGAATAAACGTAGGTTTGCATTTTTGTACCAAATTTCATCGAAATCACATCATTTTTACTCGAGTTGTGATAATGGACACACACACGGAAGGTAAAGCGGTCCCGGGTCTAGGTCTTATAATGAGACCTACGGTAATAGTTTAATATAAGTATTTTTTAAAGAGTTTTTCAACCCACAATCAGATTCCAGATTTCAAAACGACTTGAAAATTTTTCTTTTTTACTCTTTGTCAAAGTAAATATTTAAATCAATTATCAATCATTGTGATGGGGACGCCACCTAGGTACAAATTTTTACCCAAATATGAGTGAAGGATGAGTGTTCAATTTGTCTACAGTAAAAAAAATTGCACTCTGCAATAATTCTTTGGCGAACCAGAACATTTGTCTACTACTTGTCTGTCTCTAG